CGCGCTTCACCGCAAAGTCTGGACGCTGTCGAATAGAACGTTCGCGAACCGCGTGCAGTAGCCACGATGAGCAGTGAAGCTCCTCGGTCACATGCGCGAGATTTTCAAGTCGCTCGAGTGGCGAGGTATGAACGCGGATTGTAGGACAAAGGATGTAAGAAGCACCGCCTCCCAATTTTTAATAAAGCAAAATTTAGGTATCGGTAAGCCTGCGTCAGGTGATCGCATGTCTTCCTGACAACCAAGCTATCGAAAAAGCGATCACGCAAATTCGTGCAATCGGAGTCTCGTCAACAATTCGCGAGCCGGATGTTCGCGTCGCGGCTTCGCGCTTGGTCGACGCGGACGTCGCAGTTGGTCGTTTCGGTGCGCCAGCCGAATCACCAAGAAGCTGTGAACGCTTTCGTTTCTACCTACACCGACTTCCACACATCCGTGATTGCGTCCATCAAGAACCTTCCGGTAAGAGAGTTGCTTATTCGCTGGAGTCCTGACAAGGTTGAATGGGGGTTCATTTAAGGACATGGAAGCACGACGTCAGACTGTCGATCAACTCGAGATGGCCAGAGAAGAATCCGTGACCTTGCTGTCTTTCGTAAGCGCTGCGTCAAGCGACATAACACAAACGAACACCGTATCGCAATCATCGCGTAAGCTCATCGAGACGGTGAACGAAATCGTCGAGCAGGTCAGCGTCGAGCAACCATGGCAGCGAGAATGCGATGCGGCACTTAGACAAATCCAGGTATGCCGTTTTTCGATACTTTGGAGCATATTCTGCGCTGGTCCTAGTGGCCCGAACTATTGCGCTTTCCTAATTTGTGCGCTCCTGTCTGCTATGAGAACGAAGGGGGTGCTATACAAGAGGAACGCAGCCACAGAATTATTGTGGGATGTACCTTTGAATAAGGTTCCGTCCTGTCCAATATGTTCTTAAAGGGTGGGGGCCGAACTGAATGAGAGAAAGAGGCCGCTCTTGTTGCTCTCTTCTCCCATTCGATATCTTCTGCAACCGTGCGGAAAAACTGTTTGACAAGAAAATGTTTTTAGCTGGGGTATTTTTGAGGTAAAACCTCAACACACCTAGCAGATTTCCTACCAAGGTCACTTAGGAAGACGGGGTTGGAGCGATGTAAATAAAAACAAGTGCTACATTAGAACATCGGCACAGTTTGGCTTGGTGGGGGCATTTTTGCTAGCCTCCATCGATAGCTCTGCTGGTCCCTTATAAGAAGTGAACTCCTGTAAAATTATGGAGTAGCGGGATCTCCGACAATGATCCACAGGTCCCACCAAGGTGAGGCGTGTAATTCCAAATGAACTAGCAAAAGGTCTAGCGAAAGTGCAAAATGCCCCTCCCAGGCCGAGCAGTGCCGAACAAGCAGATAGGAGCGTAAATGAGCAGAGGGACGACCGATACCGCGCAAACTGGTCTCAAAAATAGGCAAACATTATAAGATTACATTTGAGGCTATCGTTTATACCGGAAAGGTGCGTTTGGGAACAAAAGGGCATCGGGTGTCAGTATGTGACAGGTGAGGGCAGAATGTGCTCCTTCGAAATGAATAGGGGTTGGTAGGGCTCGGGGTAAGGACAGTATAGTTGAGAGGTATAGGTTAGGACCAACTGGGGATCCTAACGACAGTCATTATGCTGTTTTCGAAGATGCTGATCAAAGGTTCACGTTGTGGCGACACGCAGGAACTAGATAGTATTCCCTAGCTAGTTGACTCGGCATACCATATCACTTTATTCTCAAATTAGGTAGGCCTTGGTGGTAATTTCGCGCGCGTGGAAGCGTTTGCAACATTTACAATTCCCTCGCTGCTAGGTCCCAAGGTGAACCACTTGCTCTGCCCTTGTGCTCAGCTATCATCTATCTGGTCCAGAAAAAAAAACGTTGGAGAACCCCTCCAGGCCGCGCTTTTAGAGGGATGCGTTACTGAATAGCTCCAATATGGATATCTTGGCGCTAAGCACATTAGCGATATTCCAATGGTTTGTATAATTGAATTAATGGAACAATTCCAGGGTATCCGTCATTTGACCGAGCACGCTAACGTGCCGGTCAATACCAACACTTATTTCGGATGTCTGGATACAATGACTGAACAATCAAGGCACCTTGGCGAGTCCATGACCGGCATCGCTCGTAACGCTAAGGCCATGGACACCCGAGCGCTTTGTACTAATGTCAG